CAGGGACCTCAGGAGATCATCTAGTCTAACTGGGGACTGAACCTGCTACCTTGGTGTTATATTGATTGTGGTGAGGATGTTTTGGATAATTCTTTGTTTCCTTATTAGGAATAATTGGCACACTTGGTAAGTAGACTTCTTGTCTGTTACTCTACAGATCAAAATGTAACACAAGGATATTTTATTACTATCTGTGAATTGCTACTACTTTGAGAAAGTTAACTTTTTTTTTTTTTTTGCCCCATTTTTTTATACTGGAAGTTCCTGGAGTCTAATTTTGCCAGTGCAAAGAACCAATTCGTACATGCCACATGCATTTTCCAGTGCCTCAAAAGCCTTTGAGGTGCTGCAAAGTGCATGTACGTGCTTGCCTGGAAGCACCCATAGTGTGCAAAATCCTTTAAATGACATTTACAAGATATCTTAAGCTATAGATGATGGTGTGCTATACAGCAGAAGGGCGGTATGCAAAAGAATGGTGTTTCACCATTTTAGTTAAATCAACACAGTGTCATTACTGGTTTCTCACAGTGACAAGTTGGAAGATTAAGAGATGATTAAGAGATGTGGGGGCCAAGGGGAGGAAGCCATGACCAGTTTCCTGATGGCATCTACATCATTTGTCTTCACAGAGAGGAACTTGTACAAAAAGGAGAACTGAGTTTTCTATGTCTTCTAAAGGCCTGGCCTCTCCTGAAACTACTATGTATAAGGGTGTTTTTTTGGGATGCAGACTTCAATCCACTGGGAAGGGAACAAAGCTCATTTCATACTGCCCATCAAACTGCAAGAACTTTGGGTCCTTATTAAGAGGGTAGTTGAGAGATGAAAGATGCTTATCCCAGTTGAGGATTTTCTTTCCCACTAGAAAGACAAGAAGGGAATATACCTGTAAAAACCCAGAGGGATCATTCTCTTTGATTACTTCCAAACAGTATTCCATGAGCCCTGTTGACTGACGTAACTTCAGGGTACAGTGGTTTATCTGGTCCCAAACAACCTGGAAAAGAAGCATCAGTACATTTCTGATAATCTCAGCTTTCACAGAACCATTACATTATTTCAGAAGCAGTAACAGCAGGGAACAGAAGTGCATATTAAAGCTGTTTATTTCAGCTGCCATGTGGGCATGACCCTATCTCTAACAGCTACATTTATTTGCTCTGCATTGTTAATACTGATAAGCAGTTTGGCAATACAGGGAATCTTAATATTCAAAGAAGATTAAGTATTCTTGGCTGGGATCTGCTCATGGCCAAAGGAGTTAAGATGTCATGGGTGTAGAATCTCTTGACTGTCTTTGCAGCCACACTTCCACTTAACATTCTAACTTAAACCAGGGCACTGATATGTCATGTGCTCTGTGGTAACAGCTCATGCACAAGCTTTTATCTCATGGTAAATGGAATCTGAACCATGACAGCTTATCCCTCTTTTGTTGAAGATTAAGCTACCATGAGTCAGCTTTCACTTACTGCAGGGTAAGAACAGATAGATGGGCAGTTCCTACAGAGCAGACTGTGTGGTAAGTCCCCATTCCCATTTGCCTCACAGGTCCTGGTTCATGTGCCCAGGCCCCCACTATATTAAACATACTCATTAGGAGGATTGTTTCTGTGCAGACCATAGTCTAGCACAGTGGTTTTCAACCTTTTTGCATCTGCAGACCCCTAAAAAAATTTGAATTATAAGTCTGGGTATTCAGATACTTTTGATTGATCATAGCCATCTTTTGCAGACCCCTTAGACATACTTTGCAGCCCCCCTTGGGTCCATGGACCACAGGTTGAAAACAATTGGTCTAGGATTCCCTTCAGAATCTTCCATTGATCATTGTTCCCCAGCAGATGGATTTCTAGAGAAAATAATGGGAAAGGCACATCTCATTTACCTTCATTTTGGACATGATTGTGCACTTACACTGCTGTAATGTTGCAACCAATGGAAATGTTGTACAGTAAGACTTATGTAAGTGAGAGAAGAATCAGTCCTCTACTGGGATATACCAAATGTAGGTACTTGAAAGTGTGGGGTTTCTGAAATAATGTGAAGTAGATTTTTAAATTTCTGCTAAGATATTTCTAAAGCATCAACATTGTAATAGCTACTTGGTAGATATAAAGCTATGGATTTGCAAGACATTTATTATAAATCCAGTTACAATGTTCTTTTCTTCCCCTTTCTTTTATTTCTCTTCCATAGAGAGCAAATAAGGCTCTCCAGGTGTTGCTCATTGAAATTTGAGGGCATTTATACATATGCTTCAGGAGTGGGGGGTGTGATGCTTTAATTGGCATAGCTCCAAGAGCTGCACTAATTAAAGTGCCTGGAGTGCCTTGTGTATCAGTGTCCCCATGCTGAAAAAAGCAGTTGGGGCACTTTAACTAAAGTTCCTTGAACAAGCTCTATTTAAAGCACCCCACTGCCATTTTTCAGTGTGGGATGCTAATACATGAGATGCTGGAGTCTGCTGGATCATGGTAATTACCACGCTCCAGGAGATTTTATTAATCAAGTCTGCTCTAATATACTATAATTACAACACATTGGAGCATCCTCCCTGCAAGTGGATAGGCATCCTAGGAGTTTGAAGAATTAAGGAATGGGGTAAATCCTCCTTCAGGCAAGACTCCTTCTTTTGACCAAATCCAGAGAGGTATCAAGCACTGGGATCACTAACTGATGTGAAATCGGGATTATTTTTAGCACTTCTTAGCAGTCAGCCCATAAACTTCAAATAAAAGTTTTGCTTCAATGAAGACTGGACCCGTGATTTAGTAAGTTCCTGACTTGTTCCACTGCACTCACACTTAAGTATGTTGCTCATTTGGGCCTGAAAATACATCAGATTTGGTCTGCGGGAATTATAACTGCATTTACTGTCATAGGAATTTAGCCTCCACCATTAGAGTATCAATGGTGACATTCTGTGGAACAAATGTAGTTAGTTCATAATAGCTGTGCTCACCTTTAGTTTGTGCTCACGTTCTTTGGTAACTTTAGTGAGCAGCTTTGCCTTTTGCCGAGTTAAGGCATCCACTAGGGCATCACACTGAGCAACAAGACAGGCTTCATATTCCAAGCCATTTTCCTGGAAGATGACAATAGTGAGATCCATTAATGAAAACAAAGTTTTACAGCAAAAGCCATTATTTACTAAAATGTGTTTTGCATTTAGAAAATGTTTCCTTTTAAAAGCTTGGCATGTCAAGTCTCCTTTGTGATTCCATTACAAGTTGCATCATTAATATCTGCTTCCTGTAAAATGCCTAAAGGGACGCTGTCAAGATGATTATACCATAAAACTGACTTAATGTAACTGCTTAACTGGCATAGGCAAGAGAGGACAGAATGTGAGGTCAGAAGCAAGCCAGAAGGAGTGTCAGTCAGTGAGATGATCACTGCCCTAGGGGAGGAGGAAGGCCTTGGTTTATAGCCCCTGCCTTCTGCAATGGGCAAAAACTATTGTGCTGCCATTTCTTTTATAGAATAACTAACAAATGCAAAATTCAGAACCACCACTGAGGACAGGAGCAGGGGTCAGAATCTAGATCTCCCCTCCCTTCAAGGGCAGTGACTATCCCCCTGAGCTATGCTTCTTCTAGCCCCTCTTGGTTGCCCAGTGGGCCAATTTCAACAGTAGGAGCTCTTGGCAATACCCAGAGCTCAGCCTGGTGGCTGGGCATTTTCCTGGGAAGTAGGAATTGTAGGCATAAACCCTCTCTAGGAGAGGGAGGCCTAGAACCTGGGTCTCCCACTCCCTGGGTGAGTACCCTAACTAGTAAGCTGTTGGGAAAGAAAGATAGGCAGGTTCTCCTCAGCTGTTCTCTGTGACTTCCACAGCGCTATGTGCCTTCCAAAGGGATCTAGGTTCTAAAATCAGTATAAGTGGCCTGAACTGACACTTTCATAGCTCACATCATCTGTGGATGTGCTACTTACTTGTCTAAAGGTAGAATTGGACTTGGGCCAAGGTGTCTGGCTGTTCTTGATACCAGAAGAGGGAGAGAGGATTTAAGTTCTTCACACTCTTTACTCCAAACCTCTGAACCAGAAAAGCACTTAAATGCATCTTTAATTTTATTCATATATGTGAGTCCCATCAAAGTCAATTACCACATTGGAATTTTTTTACAAATACTATGAGGTCACTTGGCCAAAATTAGATATATGTGATTGCCTTCCTAAGCACTTGAGGACAATAGACTCCATTTGCTATAACCACTAATACCCCTTGAGACATCCTCCACAGGTTGGATAAATCAGTAGGCAGTTTCCCAGGACAAGTGTAACTGGCAATGTTCTCCGTTTTCTTCCTCTTGGGGCCTTAGTCTGGCAAAGCACTTATGCATGTGCTTGACTTTACAGGAAAAATTAGTCTGTCAGCAGACATACCAATGCACTTTGGGCTGTCATTTACATTTGTGCAAAGCAGAGAGAAAACACTACTTTTTTGCTTTGGGGAGGGTTGTGCCCATGAGCTAAGTGACTCCCCAGAATTCAAGGCAATGGAGAATCAGGCCCAGGGATCTCAGACAAATGTAATTTTATATCTACAGTCACCAAAGGGCTTACAAGTTGGGGAGCTATCCTGAACCAATTCATTGCTTTAACGAAGTTCTCTCCTGGTTCACTCATGAGACCTATGAATATTACTTTTACTGAATGCTTTTAGTTTTTAAAAATACAGGGACTACTTATATGTTGTGTTTTTCCACGTTGAAAAAGCCGCCCCAATCAATTCATCAATTTCATTTCATTCTCCATTGCTAATGTAGAATAGGTTTAGATGGACATTTTGCTTTAAGATGCAAGGGCCATCTCTTCTACAAGGCAGTACCCCCTTTGAGATAGTTACCAAACATTTATACCATTTACTCTTTGTTATCTATTATTCTAGTTGACTTGATCCAAGTTATAGAAGGAACTGCTAAATAAGAAAAGGAAAATGGATGTAGCTCCATGGCTGATAAGCCCCATTCTCTTCTTCCTCACACCACTTTTACAACCAGTGTAAATCTACTGACTTGGAAAGTTATTTCTGATGTGTACCTATGATAGACCATCACTGAGCCTATGCTCTCACCTGCACCAGTATGAATCAGAAGCATCTATGCTGAAGTCAAGAGAACTGTCTCACTACAAAGAGAGTGTGAAAGGAAAATCATAGTCTCGGTGGTTATCTATTACATTAAAACTATTATTTTTCCCCTTTCCCTCTTCCCCCCTTTATTTCTGTTTTTCTCTTCACCTATGTGTATTTCAGGCTTTTCAGAACAAGTTTGTCAGTGTTTCTCTATTGTATTTCTTCTTCCTTTTCCACTAAGGGCTAGTACTTTCTTGCCCTGGAAACTGACTGCACTGTCTACAGCATTCCCACCCCATGCTAGCAGGCAAAGTGAACAACCAAACTGCAGTGAGCTGGATGGCTGGTAAGCCCCAGCCCCTTCCTACTTGGTGTGTCCCACCTCTGCTGGGGTCCCCCTATCCTCCCACCCCCATTCCATCCTCATTTTTTCTCTAACAACTTGATCGGGAAGTGTTGGTTTCTGTCCAAAGCTGCTAGAATGGAGTTTATAAGAGATGGTAATTCACCCTCCTCTACAAAACAATTCAAACAGGATGTCTTGCATTATGTCTCCTTATAATGAAAAGGAATGTGAGGCTGAAAGCAGAAGAATTGTAGCACCTGGGAGTGAAGGAAAGAAGTGAGAAAAATATAGTGACAGCAACAATGCCCCTTAGAGAGGGAAGAGATAGTGAATGCAGTGAAAATTGTGGACAGGTAAAGTGTTTGAGAAAGCAGAGTAGGCGACTTGAAAGTAACCAAAGACAGGAGGAAGAAGAGAATCAAAAGAAGATATCAACAAACCCAGGGAGAAAGTGAGAATGGGGGAGAGGGGCAGGAAACATAGGTTGTAACACTGTAATCCCCCCCAGGCAAAATAAGTACTAGCTCCTGTTAGGTCTGTTTTGCTCAGCAAGGAAATATAAGGCTTGCATGACTATACAGCTTGCACTGGATTTAAATGGAATAAGGACAACTACTTACATTTTATTTCAATTTTATAAATGTTTCTAAAATAGTTCTGCTAGGGGTAAATATGTTATGGCAGAGATTGCAGCACTGATTTTACAGATAACCTGACCCGAAAGGTATGTTTCTGAGCATGAATCTGTACCCAAGCAGTCCCAGTGTATTGGCTTGTTCAGATGTAATGTCTTAGCTCAGGCCTGATAAAGGTAGGCTGAAGATATAAGGCTCGGATCAGTTTTGGATCCAGATATTCCTAATAGCTAAAGGATGGATATTAGATCTAATTTCTAGTTTGGGTACACCTCTAGTGTTTCAGTAAGGAGTACCACAGTGGTAAATGTCTGGCCATTTGATTACAATTATAGCAGCATCTTTCTGCCAGTGTTTCTATTTGTATGCATTATGGATTTTACAGCATAGCCTTATATTTGTAAATATTCAGTTAGGTTTTGTGAAGGAGAGGAATAGCTTTTTCATGGGGAAGGGTAACGCACATGATCAGGGACTAAAGGTTCTGCCACATGTTCAAAATCAAGTTGGACAGAAATCAGCTATAGAGTTGTTACACATTTTCAAGTGCTAACTTTATAGTTGGTTGGCTTTTTTTTTTATAGCTGGATGGTCATCCTTATGGTGTGATAATTATTTTGCATGTGTGGCTGGTGTAAGTTTACTGTGTGATTAACCAGTTAATTGCATACTATATGTTAATGTGTAGCAGAGGCTTAAGGAATCTTTCACTTCTAACTTAGTACTGCAGATCTGTTCCATATTCACAATGACTGGCTGAAGTTCATTATCGCTAACAGCCATTTGGGAAAAAGGGAGAGAAATTGGTGGCTTCGCACCAGTTCCTACAGCCAATTGTCCTCATTTTGTTAAATCCTAGTGGATGCCTTCATTTGCACTCTCAGAAGGGTGACAGAGGAGTTCCCATGTTGGCGGCATTTTTGGTTTAAATGTTTTAAGCACAATTTCATTTTAGACCAAATCTGGATTTTTTTTGAATACCTGCCTTCAATTTCTGTGTGATGCAGGAGGAAGGGTGGCTGATGGACAAAGGGGCCAGAAGAAGAGTAGATAGCTATCTGTGTGCATCCCACAGAAGGCTTGCTGAAACAGAGCATTGATGAGATTCATACCATTCCTTCTCTCATGCCCTGTGGGGCCAGTGTGGGGAATCTTGAACTAATGTTGGATGTGCCAGACTGAAAAGGAATTTCAAGGCTATCAGTCCAGCAACATTTATGAACACTACATTCCCTTGAAAAAAGCAAGTTTAAATCAGATTTCTTTTTTTGTGAAATACAAGTTTCATAGATTCACAGATGCTAGGGTTGGAAGGGACCTCAACAGATCGTTAAGTATGATCCCCTGCCTAGGCAGGAAAGAGTGCTGGGGTCAGAAGACCCCAGCCAGATGCCTATCAAGCCTTCTCTTAAGGATCCCCAAGGTAAGGGAGAGCACCACCTCCCTTGGAAGCCCATTCCAAATTTTGGCCACTTTCACCGTGAAGAAGTTCTTCCCGATATCTAGCCTAAATCTGCTCTCTGTCAGTTTTTGCCCATTGTTCCTTGTTACCCCAAGAAGTGCCCTGGTGAACAGAGCATCTCCAATCCCTTGCTGCGTCTTCCTAATGAATTTGTAGGTGGCCACAAGATCACCTCTCAGTCTTCTCATAAGGCTGAAGAGGTCCAGGTTCCTCAGTCTCTCCTCATAGGGCTTGTCCTGTAAGCCCCTAACCATATGAGTGGCCCTCCTCTGGACCCTCTCAAATCTATCAACATCCTTCTTGAAGTATGGTGCCCAAAACTCCAACTGCAGTCTGACCAATGCTGCATAGAGGAGAAGTATTGCCTCCTTGGATCTATTCGTCACGCATCTGCTGATGCATGATAAAGCGTGGTTAGCTTTGCTGATGATTTCACCACACTGACAACTCAAGTTCATCTTGGAGTCCACTATAACTCTGAGATCCCCTTCTGCTCCTATGCTGCTGAGAGGGTCACTTCTCAGCCAGTAGGTGTGCTGGATATTTTTGTACCCTAGGTGCAGCACTCTGCATTTGTCCTTGTTGAACTGCATCCTACTGTGTACTGTCCAGGTCTGCCTGAAATCGTTCCCTACCCTCCAGAGTGTGCACTTCACCCCACAATTTAGTATCATCTGCAAACTTGGACAGAGTACACTTCACACACACATCCTAGTCACTGATCAAGACACTGAAGAGTACAGGACCAAGGACCAAACCCTGAGGGACCCCACTACCCACATCCTTCCAGGTCTATACTGACCTGTCTGTTATCACTCTCTGGGTGAGATCGCTAAGCCAATTTGCCACCCACTGAACCATGTAAAAATCTGTCACAGCCTCTTAATTTATTTATGAGGATGGGATGAGATACTGTATCAAAGGCCTTGCTAAAATTCAAGGAAACGACATCCACCTCTACTCCTGCATTTAAGCATTTTGTGATCCTGTCATAAAACGAAACCAGATTGGTCAGGCATGATCTACCTGTTACAGATCCATGCTGGTTTCCCAACTGCATTATTTTTCACACTGGATTCCCACAAACATTATCTTTCATAATTGTTTCAAAGACCTTTCCAAGGATGGAGGTGAGACTGACTGGCCTATAATTACTCGGATCCTCCTTCCTCCCCTTCTTGAAAATAGGGACCATATTGGCCCTTTTCCAGTCCTCCAGGACCTGACCCAAGCACTGTGAGCACTCAAACAGCCATGCCAGTAGTTCTGCTATGACACCGACCAATTCCTTCAGTACCCTTGGATGCAGCTCATCAGGCCTTCTGACTTAAACACATCCAGTCCATCCAAGTGACTTTACACCAAATCAGCATCAACAGTTGGTGGGCTGGTGTCCCTTTGATGCCCATCTAAGAACCCATTAGGAGACTTATCTTGACCCCTGTTCAGGACCAACGTGGCAAAAAACTCATTGAATAGTATTTTGTAAATCGTTTAAAAAGCATTGCTTAGACTTGTCCTTCTTATGATTCAAAATCTGATGATCAGAGCTGACCAAATGCACACATGAAAATAATTTCTCTCAAATAAATAAGTGAATTCATTTTGGCAACCAGCATTTTATGTCCTTTTTCTGTTTTGGCTCTCCACAAACATCCTAACAAACAATTTTATAAGAGGGGTGTTAGAAACAGTACATTTAAAGAAAATATTAGACCAGACACAGGGAGCAAATTTTGAATTTGTAAATTTTATATCAAATTCCCACCCCTAGGAATTACATTCGTTCACTGAAGGAGTATAAGCAATACTATATGATCATAGAATTCAGTCAAAAACTAATCAACACAGCTCACATCCAATTTTGTTACAAGAAACTGCACACAAACAACCTACAGGCCAAGAAATGTTTACAGACATTACTTGATGAATAATTTTGCCTAACAAATACATTCAAGAAAAGAGAAGATTACTTCAGGTTATTTAGGAATGGCAAAGGAGACTTAAGTCATCGAATAAATTATTCATTCAGTTCTGTTGATTATTGTATTATCAAAACAGCTAGAATTATGCAATTACCTGTATCTGCTGCAATATATTTTTCAGCTGAACTAAAAATTCTTTAGCTTCCTTTGCTTTATCTGAAACACCATTTAACGCCTGAGACAGCTGTGCCTGTAAGGAAAAGAATTCAAAAGAGAAAATTAGAGATAAAATGTAAATAGATTCCAACTAATTCTTACTTCTTACAATTAACAGCACACAAAAAGCTTACTTAATGTCACATGCATTCTTACATGCACAGAGTATTTTTCTTGAAAAGAATACATTAGGATTTCAATCTTAATTAGAATTAAAATGGGTAACTGTGTGGGAAGTCAAATATTATGTCTACATATTCCAAGTTAATGTAATGACTAATTAAGTCAACACTTACAAAAGCCAGCAGCTGCCTATATATACATGGAAATTATAGTCTTACTTTTATATAGTGGCTATCATGCTGAAAAATCTGCAAGTGCTTTCTGAACTAGCAATCTTTTACCTATAAACCTGAGATCTTTAGCTTTGTAGCATCTGCCACAACTAAGACATAATACAACTTTCATCACACAACCTTTGTGACATTGTAAAAAAAGTTTCCTTTGAGGCTGAACTTCTCCATGCTTCAACTTAGCCTGGAGGTGAATATTTCTGGAAAGTGATAGAAAAATTTCTTCAAACATTTTGAGTTATGAGCTGAAAGTAGAAATATTTCAACTTGAATCTCTGCAAGACATCTTTAAGATAACATTTTACTCATGTATGCTTCAACTGGCTGGATTGCATAACTTGATAATTAAGCATCAGTTCTAACTGCAAGATCACCAGATCTTAACTCTCACACCTCTTTGTGCATATGCACTACAGTAATCTTTACATGAGCATGTGCTCTCTAGCAAAGCATAAAACATGACACGATTCCAACTAACCTTAAACACATATAGCATCTTGTACAACTATGGTTATGTAGTACCTGAAAAAGCTCACATAAATGATTTCCCTGGACAGGACACATAAAGGCCATAAAATAGTAAATGGACCTTGGCACCTCTTCCAGGAAGAGCCCCAGGGACTATCATTCCATTATTGGTGTGATAGCAGGGTTGGGGTCTAGAATATGTTTAAATGACACTAAGAACTGGCAAGAGTTGAAGACTTCAGGAACTCTTTCAAATAATGTGGAATCTTTTTCACTGGAGATTTTCAAGAAGGGGCTAATCCTGCACCCATACAACAGGATAGACTAGATGACCTCTGTGGTCCTTTCTAAACCCTTGATTCTATGATCCAATAACTGTAACTATCAGCTGTGCTTCATTAATGTGGCAATGAACCAGGTCATCAGCTGCTGTTAATTCTTTCATGCACTGAAGCAAAGGGAACTAGGCCAATTTACACAAGCTGAGGATCAGGTTCTTGATCTCTTGATACAGTGTTCGCACTTAGCTAAATTTTTGCCTACTGGACTTGCTAGGACCCTGTTAACTGTCCTTATTAGAAGATACAGCAACATGTCAGCAATTGGAAAGCCTTCTACCTATCATTAAGCCAATGGGTTCTGGGCTCCCTTACATTCCTAAGGATAAGACTCAGCCTTTAGACAGAGTGTTTTACATGGACAGGCACATAGCTATGTGTTGGTCTAGGAAGAGACCTGGGAATGAACTGTAATTTAGGATGTCATCAGTTGCTCCCTGGTTCCAAAGGGATTCCCAAGGGAAGGAAAATTCAGCAGCCTCAGAAAGAGCATGGCTTAGATCCCCTTTCTGTAAGCTCATTTCAGTCTCGACCCTTGCTGGTCTCTACACCTCCTCTATCTCCTTCCCCTCTATTCACTTGATTAAGTGGAAAAGGAGAGGTGCTGGATATGCAGCTCTTGACCTACATACCATACCTCAGCCAATCAGTCAGGGAAACCTAACACAGCCCTGGAAGTGTCTTACCCACTGTGTGTAGCCTCATTAGGGCTAGGTACAAACTAGCCCTTAATGGGAACCAGAGGTGAATTTTGAAGGAAGAATCAGTTTTCTCTTACATTCATGGAGTCTTTCTACTTTAAGACTACTTATAAGGATTGCATTAGTGTCAAATTTGAAAACAGAACATGGTCCACTATAATTCACTTATAATTGATCTAACAGACAGATCAATAATTATGTTACATTAGAGATGCTAAATTCATCCATTCATTCATCCACCCATTCAAATTCTTAGTATTTCATAAAATTTAATGAAACAGTGTCTAGACCAAATCCAGGGTTATTGGAGCAGATCCATGTCTCTGGCAAAGGGCCTTATGTGCTACCAGATCAGCATAGAATGTTTCATAGATTCATAAACGTTAGGGGCTGGAAGGGACCTCGCAAGATCATCAAGTCCAGCCCCTCTGCCATAGGCAGGAAGTCTGCTGGGGTCAAAAGACCCCCTCAAGATAAGCATCCAAACACCATTTGAAGTGGGAAGTCTGTTCCAGACCCTGGACACTCGGACTGTAAAGCCGTTTTTCCTTGGTCCAGTTTAAATCGGCCTTCCAGAGGTTTGTGCCTGTTAGACCTTGTTATCCCTTGGGGAGCCCCAGTGAACAACTGTTCTCCCAGATCCTGGGGCACCTCCTTTTTGTATTTGTAGGCTGCCACCAAGTTCCCCCTGAGCCTTCTCTTCTCCAGGCTGAAGAGTTTCATGTCCCTCAGCCTCTCCTCGTAAGGCTTGCTCTCTTGGCTTTTGATCATGTGGGTGGCTTTCCTGTGGACTCTCTCAAGCTTATCCACATCCCTCCTGAAGTGGGGGGCCCAAAAATGGATGCAGTACTCCAGCTGCAACCTCACTAAGGCTGAGTAAAGTGGGAGGATTACGTCCCTGGTTTTGCTTGGTTTTGCTTGAGATACATCAGTGGATGGATGCCAGAGTTTGGTTTGCTTTGCCAGCCATGGAATCACATTGGTGAATAACTAGTCCTGAATGGCATGATGAAGATTATATCCATTTTATATCACTCCTTTTGGTCACACCCCTCACCTCACACATGGGGTATGTACTGATCATGTATTGGCCATGGGTGGTGGTGGTGGAGAAATAGGGGTTTGACAAAGGATGGAGAGAGGGGGCTGGAGTATGCCACTTTCTGCCAATTTCCAGCTGGCATTATGGTCCCATTTGGACAGGTGTGCCTTAGTCTCAAACTAAGGAAAATAAATGCCCCCTAGTAGAAGTGTAATTCCTACTTCTCCAACATATTATCCCCTCCCTAACATCAGATGGGGAAGGGAATCAGATTCCATAGGGTAGGCAGTGCCAAATGCTACATAGGGTTGGTCCTGTGGTTATCACACCAGCAGTACCATTCTAAGTCAATCCAGACACATTGCAATCAACATGGATATTGATGTCACTGGGCACAATACATTTCGTCTCTGGCATAACCACCCCCCTGAAGAACTTCAATATGAATGTGACAAAGATATTGATCAAATGGCTCTAGATCGAACTCTTGTGCTCATTAGACAATTGTGGTTGTGCTAATGCAAGTGCAATATGCAACCCAGAAGGAGGCCCACTCTCTGATCCTTAAACCCATTTGAGATAATAGCCTTGTTTATCAAAGTGTTTATAAGATAGTTTTCAAGCAAATGGATTTAGCTGTATACTTCCCATTAAAATCAAATGGATTCACTTGACTAAAACCTCCATCAACTATTATAAAAAAGTGCGCTGTGCACTCAGAGCTCTCTTTCATGTTGTGGAAGCATTTGCTTGAAGCTGAATTGTAAGTTACAAGCTCCATTGTCTAAGACAATTAATAATTCTTGACAAACATTATTCTATCCCCCTGTATCTTAATTTTATCTTAACTGGATCCAACAATCAAACAAGCTTCTGTAGATGGATAGAAAGCTTCTGCTCTTATCAAATACAGGAACAGATAGATAGTGTGGAGAACAATTAATCAAATCTGGAAGGGCACAGAAGACTTGTTTCTCCTCATTTTAGAGAGACAGGTGGGTTTTTTGTCTTATGAAAATAACTCACTCCTCATTTACTGTTCTTTTTGCCATCTGTTCTCAGTAGCAGATCAAGCATTGATTCAATCACTTGATACAAGCGTCAAATACTGATAGAGCACCTGAGTTTCTGTGAATGGGGTGCAGTTTGTTTTGGATCACTGAAGCCTGCATTCTAAATGGATATCCTTCCCCCAGTATTTAGTCTCAGCAACCTACTGACCTCCCTATTCTCTGCCCTTCAGTTTTCTATACAGATCCCTATCTAATTCAAGTTTTTAATCCCACCCTTGCTACAAAATCATACATGAAAATAGTTATACATTTGCTTACATGGAACATACAGAGATAAGATGTATCACCTTCTTTCCCCACACCCATGAGTCAAAAGGACCACAGTCTGTCAGCATTATTATTATTACTATAACTGATCAAGTCTCCATTGTGACTGGTGTTGTACATGCAATGATATTTCTTTCTAACCATGACCAAAGTTATAAGGCAGATTGCAGCATTTGAATACTTATGTCCAGTTACAATAACCAATTACTTCAAATATAGACTTGAGATGTGGATATAGGCTGGTGGTCAATAGTTGTTTCATTATAGTTATTTCCTGCAAATTATAACATTCTAGGAATATTAATGATCACAAAAAGAAGAAGAAGAGAAGTTTAGTGGAGTCACAAAATGAGTTTATTTTATGTTATTTTTCCATTCTTATTTGAGCCTTTACCATGAGATTGAAACAATAAATAACAAGGGAAAGTTGCATTCTGTGAAACCACACTCTCAGGAGAAAAATGCAGTGAAAACACAGAACAATATAATTTAGTTCATTCATCTGACAAAATGTGTAACAAGAAGAGGAAATAATTTAATATGTATCTGGATCAGCAGGACAGTTTATCACACTGTTTCAAAAAGGTGTTAATCAGCTGTAGCTCAAAGAAGAATTTCATGCAACACAAATGGGTTTCACAATCTACAAAGGACAAACACCCCTGAATATTTAAAGCAATCATGTTCATCAGGGAGTCAGCAGGCTTTCTGATGGAAACATTCTCAAAATCAGATTCTGTCATTTGCATAAATCGCAATAGCTGTGAATTTATGATCTGCTGCTTATGAGTTAAGTGAATGTCTCCTGAACACACACGGAAATCAAGTTTTTCAGGAAATGGCTGAGTAATATAAGCCCCTGGCTGGAAAGACCTAGGCTTGGAAACACAAATTGAAGTACTGCTGAGGATGATTCAACTTTCAACTTTATGAGGTTGAAAACCAGAGTTCTATGCAGTTTATGGCACGTGATAATTTGTTTCATGAGCCTTTAAAAATTAAAATTCTCTTTCCTATCAACAGATTATGGCTCTCAGTCACTACAGCTATACCTGTGCCACTTCCCTGTCATGCCTAGCACTGCTGCTGAGGAAAAAACCCTACATACTTGCTTCTGTTTTTTGCCTGCACAAGTCCGGCAATTAGGCAGTGTATAAGGCTTGGAGGGGTCCTGAGTGCACACCCTCATCCCACTTTTCAGGCTCTCTGTCCTTGCTGAAGTACTTGTTCAGGGTTCCTTTAAGCCACCTACACTGCCTCATTGTCAGGCTTGGGCATGGGCAGAGAAGAAGCCAATGGGCAGGTCTTGTTTCTTGGAGACAGTCCCAGGTTCTACAGGCATGGCTTATGTGATTAAGCTAGGGAGAAGGATGCAAGCAACCACACATTTTCTACCCTTGTTCACTGGCTGGAAACACCTCTTAGTGCCCCCAGAGATGCTAAACACACAAGAGGGATTAAAGAGGTTAGAGCGGTTATGGTCCTGCCTTCCCTCTGTTGTAGCAAACAGAGCCAGTTACACATACAGATAGGATCATTCTGCACTCGCTAAAGAGGTGTGTTATAATAGATGCTTTCCATGCATATGTGAGAGCCCTGGAAGGGGTCCTTTCCATGTTGCAGTATGGGTAGTCGTACGGTACTGGAGAATTAATGTACTCTATGCATGTAATGACTGATTATTAACTGATTCCATGTCTGTGTTTCTTAGCAAGAATGAACTTTATTTTATGTCATTCCAGATAAATTTTAGGATCATCTTCTCTTCCTCTTCATTCAAAAGAGATATGAAACCACACTGTTTTTTATAAACAGATCTACCATTATCAAACTACCCAGAGGGAGCATCTACACATGCAATTAGTGTGCCACAATAAACTCTGGTGCAGTTTGTGCTAGAGTTTATTGCTTCTGGGTGCTGTGTTTACATATGCACCCTAGACAGCAGTATGTTGAGCCAGGTTGGACCAGGCCCAGCTGGCAGGGGACCCAGGGGGGTCAGCCTGCTAGTCCAGGGCTGCTCCACCCCAACCCAACATGAGGGTGCTCCAGTGTGGGGCTAGCCAGCAGACAGCCCCTGCACTGCAACACCTTCATGTCCCAGCCAGCCCTATTAACATGGCAGAGTTAATTAGTTTACTGTAGCCTAATAGGCTGCATGGGAAAACACTGAGACTCTACTGTGGAGCTTATTAGGCAACTCCACAGTAAACATCTCATGTAGATGTGCCCAGTAACTCCATGTCCCACACAGAAGTCAACAAACCCTCTTTGATATGAGGCCAGTCCTGAAAACACTGTCTTCCAAAGCCCTTGAGTGGCTACAGATATGCTAAGTGTCAGTATGAAGGATGGATCAATTTGGAACAATCTGTGAACTGGTCAAAACTGAGACCTGCCCCACAACAAAACCTTAGCCAGTAAAAGCCCCACACCTCCATCCTTAACTGCCAGAATGGTTGGGGAATCTCCTTTCCCCCAACTCTCCAAAAGGTACAGGATGCAACTTGATGACACCCTGTAATCAATCAATGAGCCAAACATTCCCTGGCCTACACCTTCCCTCACTGATGCATCATCATTAATGGTATGACAGATAAAGGTCCAACAACAGTCATTTTCTCCAGTTTCATATGGAACATTGGACTGGAAGGTCTGTCTTAAAAGCATTTCAGTTTTCTGTCCTTCACGCTCTTATTGAAAGACTGTTCCTGGCAGTGAACCTCATTGCACAAATGGGTGGAAGCCTTTTTCTAATTTTCAATCTAAATGTATTCATGACTAGTGTATACCCATTTGTTCTTCCACTTACATTGTCCTTTAGCTTTGGTACTGTGATACATCATAAGCATAGTTCAAGGATAACAAGAAAGAAGATTTTTAAAAGTAAGTGAATGAGTTGATCATATTCAATAGGTTTTTTCCCCCACCCTGGTGTTTATTCCTCTATATTTAAAGCAGTGATCATTTTCCCTCTTAGCTTTCATTTTCTAAGCTACAAAAGCATGCTCTTTTTGACTCCTCCTAAGACAGGCTCTCCATTCCCTTAATAATCTTACTGGCTTTCTCTGCACCCGCTCCAGTGTGAATTCCTATTTCTTGGATGTGGATGACCAGAACTGTAAACAGCAGAAGCCACATTTGACTTGAGATTTGCAGGCTGATAAATTAATGCTGTTTCAAAGTCCCTGGAGGGATCGTTTGAGTTATGAACTATCTAGGTACATGAGGTTCAAGGACTGGTGGAAAATGAGGGAAAGATAATGGGCCTGTTGGAGAGTAGCATGAAGGAAAATATGCTGAAGGTTCTAAGAGAGTCATAGAAATGAGGTAGCCTTGGTGGTGAGATAAACCACAAGACTTCAGGATGAGTCAGTCAAAATCCCCCCAGGAGCTGCCACTGAGATAATAGAGCACTTCCTCAGAGTAGGGCTAGATCCTTGGTCCATAAAAGTCACACTTGGTTAATCTGGTCAGAAGAAGTAACCTTACAAGTGCCTTGAGGGGATCAGAGCAGTTTCCCTCAGCACTGGATGAGTCAAGATGGAGGCCTATTGCCTGTAACCAACATGAGGCCAACCCCTGGCATATGACTGACTTTGTGGATAGTTGGAGTGGGGAAGAGACCTCTTGGAGGTAGTTTGTTGCATTTTTGGGGGGGGGGGGATTTTAGTACCAATCCCTGGTTCACATAACCCTTCTCTGGGGAAAAGGCAGGACCTGTGTTGCACAGATACATTTCAGCAGTCCTGTGACTGCTCCTATTTGAGCCAGGGGCCAGTATAGCCCTCCTGTGGGCCCCAAGGTGGGGTGGGGGGAAGAGTGAGGGTTATTGTGGGCCACCTTTATCTCCTTCTCCCACCTCAGCCTGGCATGGGCCTAAGGAAAGGGGGTAGCTCCCAGGGGCATTTCTCTCACAGCCATGCTTACCTTGTGCTGCTTCCACATGGCACCCAGGGCTTTCACTTCATGCTTACTGTGCTTGCCATCCTCCAGGCACTGGTAGCACACGGGGCTCCGGCAGCTCACACAGTACATGCTGTAGTTTTCCAGTTCATGGTCCGTGCATGTGGGGAATTTGCGGGCACCCCCTGCCCCGACTCCTACTGCTGCCACTGCCTTGCTCGCCCCGCTGTTGCTGCTTCCACCATCACCACTGGAGGCACCCTGCAGGCTGAGCGGTGGAACCAGGTGGTGCTTGGCAAAGGGACCCCGTGACGGGTGGCACTTGAGCTGGCAGGCAGCGCAGTACAGCACCTCGCATTGCTCACACAGGACGGCAGCTGGTTCCGGGGGGCTACGATCACAGAGCTGGCACTTGGCGGAGGCAGCGGCACGGCCTTGCTGGTAGCGCTGCACAATGGCCTCCAGCAGCCGGTTGCGCTGGAAGCCACGGAGGCCACGCTGGTCCAGAGAGGCGCTGCGGTGGCACTGCGGGCATGTGAGGGACGAGCTGGTGGCAGCACCCCGGGGAGCAGCCGCTGCAGCTGCGGCTGCTGAAGAGCCTGGAGGGGCTGGCACTAGTGGCAGCACCCGCACCCCATTGGGCGACTTAAGGCTGGGGGTGTAGGAGCCGTAGCCACTGTCAGTCTCACTGTGCAGGCTTAGCTTGTCCACGTGGTCCCCACTGCCACCCGCTGCGCACTCATAGTCAAAGACAGGGACAGAGCCCACTGCTGGCCCTGTCCCCAGCCCAGACCCAGCAGCTGCTGCCCCTGGCATAGGTCCTCGGGGCTGCAGCATGGGGGGCAGGTGCTGCTCGGTGTCCGGGGTCTGCACGGCGATGGTGCGGGCGCAGGGCAGGCAGACATTGTGCGAGCAGGGCAGGATGATGGGCTCCCGGAACAGCGAGCCGCACACCGGGCACTTCAGCTCCTCTTCCATGGCCGCGACGGCTTTGTGCAAGCGGGGACCGGGGGGAGGGAGGGATCAGGGAGAAGAAGGGTCGGAGCTGAGCCCGGGGCACTGGTGGCTGGGCGGAGCGGTGCTGGGCTCACCCGCGCCGGTTCCCCCCATAGCCCGGCCTGCCGCTGGGAAGATGTCGGAGGGGAGAGAGGTTGCAGCACCCGGGCGGGGATGGACAGCTCCTCGCCGCGCCGCCGCCGGGTTCAGCACCAGGGGGGTGGACAGCTCCTCGCCGCCGCCGCCGCCGCCGCCGCCGCCGCC